CCCCCTCGAATCTCTGATTCTTGTGCTCTGAACAGTGGCAAACAGGAGCAATCCATGAACCAAGGTAATTAGGAGGAGGCTAAACTGACATGTAAATGAAGGCCAAATTCTGTGAGTATCCTAAACTACTTGCAGCCTTGCCAGGCAATGCAGCACCAAGCAATTCAGAGCTAGTCTRTCAGAGCTGTTCGTAGCAACTCGGCTTCCTCTGGTTTTAAAGAGCTGAATGTACATGCCTGTGGCAGGACAAACCACTGTTATGTGATGCATACTATTAACAAGCAACCTCCAGGCAGAAATATATTTAAAAGGCAAACCTGGAAGAGGAGAAGGGGATGGTGTTTTTTGTAGGTGACCAACAGAAAAGAATGGCAAGGTAGAGAGATTGCAATTCCAGGTGGTAGGAACAGTAAAGGAGAAAACTCTGTGCCCATGTTGGGGAAATACTGACTGTACAAGGAGTAGGGGATGCATTCTGAGGAGGGGATATCGTGGTCTTGATAGAACTATAGTGGTGTATGTCATCTAGTACTGAACTAAATTAATGGTGTTGAGCTAGCTCATGTTTCTGGATGAAAATTTTCTTCTGTTACAATAATAGAGGAACTTCTGCTGGTTCCAAGAACAAGACCCCTGACCAAGCTATAGCTTGCAGTTAGGACCCGACAGCTGAACATCTCCTCAGTATCCTGTGGATCTGAGTGAGTTGTTCTGTGGCTCAGCCGCCACCCAGTCAGGGCCAAGACTTCTGCTCTGAACATTAACCGTTGTCTTTGGGTTTTTTTGGTTTTGTTTTTTTGTTTTTTTTTTTTTTTTTTTTTTTTTTCTTAATTAATTTTCTTCCACAGTGAACTCCTATGGTCAGCCCCAGCCTCCCCATCTCTTCTCCGGGCCATCTCCTATGTACCAGATTTCCACCCAGGATTCTCCAGGATATAATCGCCCAGGTAAGGGGTGACATTAAGGCATATTACACCATTGAACATTAAWGAACTGAGTCCCAACCCCTTTATGCATTTCTCCCAAAGCATTTAGTAATCAAATGGAGCACTGTGGGTAGAGATGAAGCATGGACTGCAAGGGAYACTCCATTTAGGGCTCTACCATAGCTCTGGGAAGGTTTAGGATTTCAGAAGCCTGATTTCTTTCACTTCACATAAACAGACTTCTAGYTTAGCCTAACCCTCAGGTAGTTGCTTGAAGACAACTGTACATGAGAACTTTCTGTTGATGAAGCCCTTTGTAGCAGTCAGCTACAAGGAAAGTAAAGGAGGCTGAAGCTGCTGTGAAGAATTTTACAGCAGAACATCCCCGGACATTAGTAGGTGCTGTGTGACAGAGGGATTGACACTAGTAGTGCTCTTGTTGTTAGACTGTTGGAAAGGAGAAGGCCCAAATCACTTCTAGTTTCTTTTGCCTGAGGGCCCACTATGAAAAAGCATGTAGTTTTTGATACTAACCATTCTCTTCTTTTTTCTTCTTTCTTCTTGTTTTTGGCTCAGCTCATCATCTGGTCCCTCGGCCTCCAGGGCCTCCTCCAGGTGCCAATGAGGAAATCCCCGATGATTTCGACTGGGACTTGATCACCTAGCGAGTTATAGACTTGATAGCCCGTCCTTTATGAAGGACGTGGGAGGGGAGGGGGACATGGGGTCAATGGTGTCAGCACCGCCCTCCCCAGCCTCCCTGCCTTGCCTGTATATAGATATATATTCTCTATCTCCGCCAGAGAAGCCACCGCAAGATGCTGCCGAAGATAATCCTTCCTTGCGTCCTGTTTTATCTTCTTTTCTTCTTTTGTTTATTATTATTATTGTTATTATTATTATTATTACCAATAATTGAGCACAGCCCTCCCCCCTCCTCTGGTGGCCTCGGACACATCAGATTGGCTTGTTCGTGTTGTGCAGTTCCCCTGTGGAGGGCGGGAAGATGGGTCCTTGGTGCCATGAAAAGACCTTGGAAGGCTGAATCCTCGAGTGCATCTTTCTCTGCCTCCGTCATTTTGCGTTTAACAATCCCTCTTTCCCTTCAAGGTGGCCTGTGAATCTGTTGTATTGGCTACTGGAGTGAGAGAGCCTAGTGGACCCTGGGAGCCTGTAGTTATGTTGTTTCGTAAATGTTGTAAAGGTCAGGGGGCTGAAGGGACACTGGAGGGGGTGATCTTAGCTCTGTGAACTTTGTCGCACCAGCAGGAACAGCAAGAAAAGGAGTGGTGTTCCTGAGTAAAAAGAGAGGGTAATCCCTGAGGTAGGGAGAGCTGAGCTGAGCTGGGAGGGCAGACCTGAATTTGGAGAAAGGAGAATGTAGCAGAGATGGTATTTCAGCAGAGAAGTTGAGTTTCAGAATGTGGTGCCATCTGTGAAGACTGAGATTTTGAGGGAATCCTGACCCATTTCCTACACTGCCTTTTGCAGTCTCCAGGTGAAGCCTACACACCCATGAGGTAAAAGAAGCAGTCAGGGGTGTCACACATGATTCAGCAAATTCTGTTCCCCAGAGCTTTTCATTTCACCCCACACCCCTTCAAGCCCTTTTTTTAAAATATGTAGTGAGGCTCTTCCTTTCGTATGCAAATTTGGAAGTTTTCTCCYATCAGTATTTGTCCAATTGTTATTTGGCCCTCCACCCCTCATATTTCTTTGGAAGCTGCCCTGGCCTGTGGTTTGAAAGTGCCAGGAACAGGAGTCTGGCTGTGTAGGTGCACGTCCTCCATCAGCAGTTCCCACTTGGTGAATGGACTCATGGTGGGAAGAGGAAGCTGCTGTGCAGAGTGGGGCTGAACTGGGGGGGCTGCTGGTCGAGGGCTGGACCCTCTAGTCAGGGACTGGGARGCCCTTGCGAGTGTTTTTTGTAAGGAGCGTAAGGGGAGAGTGGGTGAAGCTGGGCAGGGTCTTGAACTGAACAGCCAAAGAGTRTAGTAGTATAAAAGGGAGGAGGATGTCTCCGACCCCTTGCAGTTGAGCTGGGGAGATGATGTAATCTAGTGTAAATCCCGAAGTATGAGCTTTGTTAGCACGTGCAAATCAGGAAGGTGGAAATGGTGCAGGACCAGGAGTCAGTGTAGAGATGCTTCCTCCCCAAAGTTGTGTCCTGTGTTCCCCTTTTTTTCTGGTATGGCTCTGTTCTGTCACATCTTTTATTTCCTCTTAATATTTTGTAAAGCCTCCCCCCCAGCCCTTATTCCATATACCAGTGAAGGGAAGAAATGTGTGAATAGACCATCATGGCTGCTTGACAGACCTGGAACACAGGAGTAAAGTAGTAACCTCTATTCTGACTGCAGGAAGATGGGGAACTAGCACTGATTTTTAAATTTGCTGTAGGGATAAACCAATTGGAAATTGGATTGTTGTCAGGGAAGTGGACAGAGTCTCATTGGAAGGGGGAAACAACACTTTTTTTTTTTCTTTCTTTTTTTTCCTTTTTGTTTTAAGTGTGTTTTTGGGGGGGAGTTCGTCATTGAGCATTTCCGAGAGAAATGAGGAATCCCAGACAGCTTCAACATGGAGTCAGCTGTTATCTCTGCTGCCTCAGGATGGGAATGATACAGCTTGGAAGCATGTGTGATAAGTTTCTGTGSAAAGTGGCACCAGAGACAACTTACGGCAGGTGCCAGTTAGTGTTTTGCAGAGGACATTACTGAGAGCCGGCCCTGTGGAAGTCTGAAAGCACCACCAGAAGAAAACCAAACCAAGATGGCTCCTTCTGCGTATCCAAGTGCTCCTCATTTGCATATTTGCCTCATTTGCGTATTAAGTTGTGCCTCATTTGCATATGTAAATACATGCCGGTCAGTGTGCAAATTAGCCTCGTTCCTCTGCCCCTGAAATCAGTGTGCRTTGTTAGTGTATGGGAAGACATCGATGGTTGGGTGAGGAGCTCTGCAGGTGCGCGGGCACTGGCCTGCAGGGAGGGCAGGGGGCCCAGCCTGGCCCACAGAGGGGTCTTGCAGGCCCCTCCAGCCCAGTGTGGCTCCAAATGCTTCGTGTCAGTGGTCAGGGAGAGAGGGGGCGTGGTCTCACGAGTTTATTTTTGTGCATGCTTTCTTAATAAAAAGAAAAAGTGAATGTTTATGGTTTAACTCTTTTGGTGCCAGTATCGATTTTTTTCTTGGAGCGGTGCCTGTCAGGATTGCTCAGTTCCCACCTTAGAATTAGGGTGCRGACATGGCTAAATAGACACACCACACCTGGAAGTATTTTACAGAGGCTTTTTAGGGTGCWAAGAGCCGAAGGTTCTTGCAGCTGGCTGTTCTCAGAGCACTGAGATCTGACAAGTCTTTCAATTCATGCTCACCAGAAAGGCAGCGTGAAAACTCTACCAATGCTTAGTGTCTGTTGTACTATTGGCTGACCTTTCTCTTTTAAGGAAGGGCTAACACAAAAAGCAAATTTTAAACTGCTTCCATAGAGCACCTAGTAAATAAATTTCTAGGATTTTTCTACATTTTCAGGAGCAGGGAACATTCAAGCATGAGAACACCCCRAGCCTGACTGGATGAAACTTTTTCTCTGCTGGAGGAGCATGAGAAGCACATCTCTCTTATAAAGAGAGCCTGGTGTGACTGAACCACATGGTCATTCCCCACCTTCTTGGGGTCAGATTGAAGGTTATCACTTCCCAGTTCCAGGGTTTTGCCAAATGGCTGATAGTCCAGCAGTCACCTAATCTGCATCATCAATAACTGCAGTTGCTCAAATTCTGCTCATGTGCTATCTCAAAATGCAGAACATATATTTGAATAATCTCAAAACTACTTCCTAAGAGGAAGATTTGGGACTCTGGTGGTGGAAGGGATGCTGGGGTGACAGCATGCTAATGACCCTAAGTACAGCATGTACATTGACCAGTTACTATCATAGAGTGATGTATTTACCAGGACAAATATATTGAGTGTCTGCCAGGGCACAAAAGTCAGTTCAGTGCAGCTGACTGGGGCAAGTGCTGTTTTAGTGCATGGCTGTAAGGAAATGTAGCAGCACCCTCKAGGAAGGTCTTCAGATACTCCCACACCTACCTCAGACTCCAAGTAGAGTCACAGCGAAAAGATGTGATGACCTTCTGAGGAGCAACATCCAAGTTTTATCTATGCTTTATCAGAGACAGGAGATGTAAAACATAGACATATGCAAATAAAATAACATTCTCATCTCAGTTGAGAGGTTCAACTACATGATCCCACCACAAATCTGCAACCAGACCTGCTTTCTTAAAATACTCTGTGTAGGTTAAAATACTGTGTCTTCTGCTTCACCAGTCTTCTTTACCTCAGATTATTACTCTTGGAACTTCCAGCTTCCCTTCTCTCTAATGTAGGATATTAAGGGGGTTATCTGTCATGATGTGAGTGGTCGCAGTGTCCCAAGTTGTACCAGCAGGTTAAACATGTTGGAGCAAAACCACCTGCTAAGCGGAGAGTGATGGATGTGCAGTGCCATAGCTTGCTCTTTCTACAGTGGTGGCAGGAAGTCCTGTAYTACAAGGTGCTGCTAAGGTTCTTCTGTGCTGAGTCTGGCTTCTGTGAAGATGTGAGTTCCTCACTAAAGGCACTTTCCAAGATTCTTTGCACCGATTGCCRTACCTTGGCCCTGAAGTTCTGTCCCACAAAAACATAAAGCAGGGGGTTGATGCAGCTGTTGGCATAGGCAAATGCCGTAGAGAGGTGATCCCACAGAATCAGTGACTCCCTCAGTCCTGTTCCAAGACTAGGGACAACCGAGAGAATCCCAACTACATGGTATGGAGCCCAGCAGATGAAGAATGCAGCTACCAAGAACACAATTGTTCGCAGCATCCTCTTGTGTGGCTTGTGAGACTGATTTGCATGTGTTCTGAAAACAATGAGGGTGTAGCAWACTGCCATTACACCAAAGGGGATCACAAAGCCAAAGACAGCCCTAGTGGTGTTCATTACCACGGAGGCAAGGGGTACAAAATAATTACTTTCATTGCTATTTCCCCACAAGTCACTACCATCGTAGGTTAAGGGTAAGTATTCTTCCCATAACTCATTTACAGATGYGTTTACAGATGCATTTACAGAACCATCTATGTAATCATCTATATAATCATCAACTCTGAAGTTGTACCCACACTCTGTTTTGCCATCATAAGTGCTTGTCTCACGGTAGTAGAAGACAGGGCAGCAGAAAATGAAGGCCAGAATCCAAATGCCACTGCATACCAGAGATATAAATTTCACTGTTCGGTGGTTCTGACACCAGACAGGTTTCATCACCAGGAGGCACCGGTCAATGCTGATGGCCACGAGTAGGAAGACGCTAGCAAACATGGTGAAGATTAAGACTGATGGAATGACTTTGCAGAGGAACCAGCCATAGGGCCAGTGTTCATGGAGGGCCAGGTGAACAATGAAAAATGGCAAGGACAAGCAGCACATGAAGTCAGCCACAGCAAGGTTTAGGAACCAGACAGTGTTCACAGACCTTTTCATTTTCAGACCAGCTACCCAGATCACCAACCCATTGCCTGGGATACCTATGATGAAAACGATGCTGAAGATAGCAATGGAGACCATTGATTCTGATGCATAATAAACTGCAGCCTCTTGTGAACTGCTGTTGCTCAGGAGTTGAGGCATTGTGCAGCTATAAAACAGATATCAAATTAGTAACAAGTCACACTCTCCTCCCCAAATTCTTTTCTTAATCTTTACTGAAGCATCCCTGAGTCAGGTGAGAGTCCAGAGCTGCCAGGGTACAAAGGCAYTGGTCTATATGAATTCATGCTTATAAAGGCTTACTAATGTAACCATTGTACACTTTCATCATTCTCATGGTGGCTAAATTATGTAAGCCCCAAAATTCAAATAGGGAGCTCTATACACTTATGTTCTCCTATCTGTATCGTCCCCTTTGATTTCTGTCTGGCTCTTTTTAGTCTCTAAAGTGGACCTCTGTTCACAAGGCTATGCTGTCCCCAGGTGTGTTTCCTGATTGACTTCCTGCTTCAGAAAGTCAAGTCAGTGTTTTTAGTTCCTGTTCCCTTTAAAATGAGAGATTTCTTCTGGCATAACTGGTAAAATACATTTAAGTTAAGACAGCAGTGCCTGTCTACGAAATAACCCTACTTCACTTTYTGGACATTACAAATAGAATACAGAGGATATAACTCAGTTGGCTAAGGGGTATTTTAGGGAAGTGTCAGTGACCATTTCCTTTTTCTTTGCTTGTGGTCTGAGCTGTCTGCTGCTTTTTTGGAAAGCTCATCTTGATGAGAAGAAAGGCAAGACATTAATGGTTTAAGATTCTATGAAAGACAAGAAATTATTGTTTAAGAATTACTGTTTAATTATTAATTATTGTAGGAAAGACAAGAAATTATTTAGTTGCAGAAATAAAAATGAAAATACAGAGTAATAGTAGTGATGTTCTTGAGCCATTTTACATATGAGGTGTCTTAYTGCAAGACAATGAAGTTGACCTACAGCACACTTAAGTGACATTTTAAAACTATTGCAGTAGTAGGGAAAAATGTTGATTGGTCAATTATTCTTGGACTTAGATATTAGTAAATTTAGAAAGAAAACAAGCAAAGCCAAGACAGAACTGAGAAAAATAACCTGGTATTCATCCTTTAGGCATTAATAGAATTGTCTATAGAATTCTTGTTAACTTAAACCCTTACTGAATTGATGAAGGCAGTTGTGTTGCTGAAAGGTCCCTAAAAATGTTGCCGAAATGCAAGGAAACTGCACAGGGAAGAGCTGGACACAATCTGCAGAAGCAACTGAGAAGACAATAGTAAGACAATTGAGCCTCTTTTAACCTCTATTATGTCAGTACTTAAATACCAAACAGAGACTGTTACATGCAGGACTAATATTATTTTTAAAAATATATTAATATAGTCAATCTCTTTCTTGCATAACATACAGTCTGAATGTGGAGTGATGCATAAGTGTTAGAACTGCTTCACTAAGAAAAAAATGAGATAAACGATTGTTAACAAACCAGTGATTTATCAGTTTTGGTAATATCTGCTCAGAGGGTTTTAGGTGAGGATGACCTCCAAGGAAAGTATGAAAGAAGTTACTGGAAGACTTAATTTAAAGCTGGGAGCTTAATTTAAGATTCTCCCAAGTTTGTTCCATTTCCTGTGGTCTTGCTGATACACGTAGAAGCAACTCATAGAGAGACAATAGGAGAACARTGCTGCAAGAGCTGAATCCTGCTGCCTCCCCATACAGCTACAGAAAAATGGTATGAAGAGGACAGGGAAACAAGGAATGCTGCAAAGATAGAAACACAAGTCCTRCTCCAAAGTAAACTGAGGGATGAATCAATAAGAAGATACTGCCCACACTATGTTTTCAAGAGTGCTAAAAGGGATGCAATGTGGTTTGAAAAAGGAAGGGGGAATTGGAGGAGGGAGAGAGGTTTTCAGGAGTGAAAAATAATAAATGGCAAGAAGAGGAAAGCAAAATTCTCCAGCTTATAATACCTACCTGAGTGAAGCAGTTATTTCAATATGTCAGGGAGCATGTACCATCAGTCCTGGCTCTGGAGTGACTGAAAAAACTCTCACATGACATTTTAGGAACTGCATTTTTTTTCTGCATGCGCATGTGTGTGCCAAGTGTGTTCTTTCACCCTGATAAAATGACTCATTTGAATGTCATTTGAAGATTTAGATATCATCTAAATTTGATCATATATAAAATAGTCAAATCACATGATGTTTCTCAAAATTGTCAAAATAAAATAAAACATTAATAGAAAACACAGGAATGATAGGCCCAGACATATATTTTACTAGATCTTCTGTAAGACAACTGAATGACATCTTGACTGTTGGCACAATGCTGACCTTTGCTGGATGTAATTCAGAATTCCAAACCCTGCCATGTTGCTGTCAAATGTCTGATCTGTTATTGTCTTATAGCCACTTCTATGTCTTACCAGGTCAGCACGTTCACCATTTCTTCTTATCAATCCAGATCAGCTTCTGTCCCAGCCTGAGAGAGTTTACTTCATCAAATACAGAACACTGTACTCAGAAAACCATGAGTGGTCATTTTAAAAGGATTTAAATCTGCCTTTTACTTTACAGCATATTTAAAGTCAATTTTTTAGAAAGGAACTTGGCAAAAAGAAGTGGTTAACTGAAATGCCAATCTGCACAAAAAGTGACAAGACAACAAAAATTGAAGACTTCCAGGGCAAGGCATTTCTAATGTTTAACAAGGGGGTTCCCCCTCGACCCTCACAATTTGGGAAATCCAGACTTCTAGCAGAAATGACAAAACCCAGACACACAAGAATCAGCCTCATATTTTGATGTTAGTCTGGAAAATGAACCATGACAGAGCAGAGTTCTGCTCCTGAGCGTGTCTGTGAAAGACACAGATGCTGCCTCCAACAGAAAACCAAAAAAAGTAAGACAGGCCAGGGCTGAGCTGTACCCACAAAGATAGACAGGCTGTCAGCAGCCTGCCAGGAAAATTCCTCTAGCTTCATCTTTTTCTCAGCTGCCATCCTTGCAGTGGGACTCCTCGGGCCCAGACAGAGAGTGCTGATAGGAGATTACTCCTATGGGCTTCTCTTAGCCAGGGGACACACAGCCTGGTCATCACTATGGGATCTGCTGGTCAAGCCCCACTTTGCAGGAAGGTCCTTCATCAGTTCTATCCACGTGATTAAAACTTCTCTAAGCTTTCATGTTAATCTCAAATCACCACATTGTGATGACTCTCCCTGTTTCGTTCACAATAAACAGACTGAGTTAGCTGAGAAAGGCTCTAATTCACAGAATCACAGATTAGCTGAAGTTGGAAGACTGTCTGGAGATTGTCCAGCCCAACCCTACTGCTCAAAGCAGGGTCATCTAGAGGAGATTGACCAGGACTCTGTCCAGTTATGTCTGGGTATCTCCACAGAAAGAGATACCTCAAACCCTTCAGGGTAGCCTGTTCCAATGTTCAACCACCCTCACAATAAAAAAAGTGATTTTTTGAGTTCAAATGGAACCACCTATGTTTCAGTGTGTACTCCAACCTCTTGTCCTGTCACCAGGCTCTACTGAGAAGAGTCTGTCTCATTCTCCATTAACACTCCCACCAGACAGATAAAAAAATCCCCCTAAGCCTTCTCTCTTCTCTCCAGGTTGGATGGGAGCTCTGAGCAACCTGGTCTAGTGGGGAAGATCCCTGCTCATCGCAGGGAGGTTGGACCTAGATGATCTTTGATGTCCCTTCCACTTCAAATCATCCTATAATTCTCTTTTTCAGGCCGAGCAGTTCCAGCCTCTCCTTGCATAATAGCTGTACCAGTCCCTTAATTACCTTAGTGTCTCTCCACAAGTTTCACTCCAGTATGTCCATGTCTCTCTGCTAGTGGGGASCCCAGAACTGGACCCAGCACTCTAGATTTGCCCTCACCAATGCTGAAGAGAGGGGCAGGATCACCTCCCTTGAACTGCAGGCAACACTCCTCYTAAGCCAGCCCTGGCAGCTATCAGCATTCTTTTCTACCAGGGGCACATTGCTGGCTTATGTTCAACTTTTTGTCCACCAGGACCACAGTATCATCATTTTCTGTAAAGCTGCTTTCCAAGTGCTCAGCCCCCAGCATCTGTTGGTGCATGGGGTTGTTCCTCACTAGGACTCTTCTTCAACTTTATGGTGTTCTTGCCTGCCCAGCTCTCCAGGATGTCCAGGTTCCTSTAAACGGTAGCACAGACATCTGGTGCATCAGCCACACTCCTACTAGCTCTGTATCATCTGCAAACTTGTTGAGGGTGCATGTTAATTCATCATCCAGGTCATACACAAAGAATTAGTATTGGAACCAGGTGCAGCCAGACACCACTAATGACTGGTCTCCAGATGGATTTAGTTCTTCTGACCGCCACACTCTGAGCCCAGCAATTCAGCCACTACTCCATCCACCTTACTGTCCACTTATCTAGCCTATATTCCATTAGCTTGTTTATGAGGATGTTGATACTCTAGTTTACCTTGACATCTAGGCTCAGCTGGCCAGCACAAGTTGGCTAAAGCCATAGTGCAAGTTGCCATGTGTATTGCCATTCTATGTTTGTTAGTACTGGTGAGTAGTCTGTCAGCTACTAACCATTTACATCCATTTGCAATTCTAAAAACATGATCAGTGGATTTACAAAAGCCTTCTCCCTGCAAGAGCAAGCAGGTTGTCTCCAAAACACTTTGGCAAGAACTGAGAATCCACATGTATTTCATATTTCTTCTGCAGTTATCAAAAGCTTTGCAACCTCTCTTCAATCTTCCATTTGTTTCTCTCCAGAGGAATGTCTAGCTAGCTATGATCTTTTTCCTTGGTTTTTGTTCAYTGAAGATTTGTGTGTGGGAAGAATATGGATCCTCCATTGCTTTCATAGTCTGATTTTAAATATGTTCTACTTCAAGATTTACAGGTCACCGCTGGATCCTTTGGAAAAAAAAAGAATTAAAAAAAAAAAAAAGAAAAAATTTAAACTTCAGCTGTTATTGGCAGTGCTTTGTATTTTTTTGGTCCAGAGATGCTTGTTTGAACCAGCAGAAGAATGTTACATTCTCTGCTGGTTAAGCTCAATGGAATTGAAAAGGAGATGTATTCCTGGCGTACTGGCGCTGCTTGTGAGTCCTTCCTCACATGTCTTATAATAGTTGGCCCTTTGCCACCCCCTCATCCGAGATCCTCTCCTTCTAGAGGGACTGTAGGAGGACTGTGACACGCTGAATGACAGCACTGTAAAGAGGTAGGTGAAATTTAACACTGCTAATTGTGAATCATTAAACTTGGAAAAGCAACCGCAACTGTGCACGTGGAAGGGTGTACTCCCGGTAAGTAATTGGTGCTCAATGAAAAACCATAGCAGTCACTGCAGGAAGTTCTAATGAAAAATTATGTCAACAAGCAACTCTATCCAAAAGGTAAACATAAGTTGCTTCTTGAATTCTGAATGCTGTACTGGTCCTCTACTGGAACTCCATCTGAAAAAGTTACAGAACAAGAAAAAACATAGAGGATGACTAGACAGCCATGGCTAGGAATGTCTCTGTCTGTGTTATCTAATGCTATTCCCTATTGAGAAAAAAAACAAAAACAAAACCAAAAAACGTAATTCCCCAAAGTTAGTGATATTTCACTGATTTTTTTTTTTTGTGTTAACACCTCCAGGGATGGTGATTCCACCAACCCCCTAAGCAGCCAGTTCCAGTGCTTGACATGGCATGTTCAGACACGGCTCTGTGTAATTTTGTRACTTTTGAAATGCCTTTTCTTCCACTTTTCAGGGTAAACATTTGGTGCTTTTGGAGACTTAGTCACTGGATGCTGCACAGCAGTCAACTTTAACACCAGTCTCCACTGAGACGCTACCATTAAAAGAATGGTTTAAATGCTGCGAMCTTTATCATTATTGATAAATAAACTAGTATCTACATCCTTACTTTGTCCACATTTTGGGGGAAGACCCACTCCTGMAACCAAGTATTGCAGAGCTGGCATTCCATCACTTCCAGCAGCAAAACCTGTCGTGCTTTGTGCCGCATTTCCTTTTTGGTTTCCTCTTTTACCAAAAGCCACCTGACCCCAGCACCACAGACAGAACATTGTCACTTAAACACCCAGGTTTGCCCCAGGGCAGCAGGGGAGCAGCCCCCGGGGAATGCAGACGAGCAGGTCAACACCAGACGGCGTCACACACAGCCCCGCTCCTGCCGCCATCCCGCCCGGCCCCGGGACGGCGCCCCAAACAAACATGGCCGCCTCAGCCCCGCCGCGGCACCTGCCAGACCCCAACATGGCGCCGGCCCCGCTGCTGTGTCAGAGGCGGCTCCAAGATGGCGCCCTCCAGCCCCCGCTCCCCGCTGCCAGGATCCAAGATGGCTCCCTCCGCTTCTCCGACGTGGCCCGTGTCCCGCCCGGCCGCGCCGGCGCCCGCAGGCGGTGTCTGCCCTCATCAAAGATGGCGGTGGGCAGCGCCGCTGGTCACTAGGCTCCCGCTACTCGCTCCTCGCCGGGCTTCGCGGCAGACATGGCGGCGGCCGAGCTGGAGTAYGAGTCCGTTCTCTGCGTGAAGCCCGATGTCAACGTCTACCGCATCCCGCCGCGCACCTCCAACCGCGGGTACAGGTGAGGGAGCGTGCGGCGCCCGGCCTGGGCCAGCCCCTGCCCGCAGGGCCGGCAGAGCGGGTAGTACAGCCGGGGGCTGGGCTGGGCTGTGCCGTGCCCGGGCCTCGCCCCTTGGGAAAGCCGTGTCCTGTGGCCGCGGACAGGTCTGGGCCATGCCCTCACTCCCCGCCAGCCGAGCTCTGGGGGAGCCGCCGGCTGCGGTTCCCCTTGTGGACAGGTGGTCAGCGCCTGAAAGGAGAGGAGCCTCCGCTCCGTGCTGGGGAGGAGCAGGGGCTGCCCTGTTAATCAGGGGCAGGAGGCGAGGGCTCTGCTCCAGGCACAGCTGACGTCCGCTCCCGGTTTGMTGAGTTCCCTGGGATGTGACGCTGATGTGGARTAACGGCACGCTGGGTTTGGCCTGGTGGCCCTGGCCGTGGCGGGGAGGAAGGCAGCAGGAATTCGGGGTGATTTTTAAGAAGAGGCTGCAGGACCAGAGTTTAGAAATTCCTTCTCTGATCAGCCAGAAGCAGCAGAGTGTGACTTTATAAGCTGTGCCCACGGGCCTGCTGGAGAAGATAGTTAGTGCACTCGCTGAACCTGACAGACTGTAGGTGGATGTTGTGCCTGGCCAGGGATGTTTGTTCCCAGTCATAAAGTCCTGTAGGTTTTACAGCACCAAGCCTGCCAGAGTTCAAGAAGTGTTTGGACAATGCTCTCAGGCACCTGATGTCATTCTTGGGGTGTCCTGTGCAGGGCCAGGAATTGGACTCAGTGATCCTTCTTGGTCCCTTTCAACTCAGAATATTCTGTGATTCTGTAGGTTGGGGTTTTTCTTCTCTTTCCTTTTTTTTTTTTCTTTTTTTTTTTCCCTTCACAAGAGTCTGTGGCAAAGAGTATGATGGACCAGTCAAAATGTCACTGTGTGTGTTTTACCTGGTATCAGTTAGCTGCCTCTCAGTTCAGAAGTGCTCAGTATTATTTTACAAAAATGGATAGAATAATGGAGTGTTTCAGCATGTTACTAATTAATTTTTGGGTCTTCACAAATCACTTATTAGCTGCTTGTGGATCTCCTGTTCAAACAAATTTCTGRGCTTCTGTCTCCCCTCTTTTGAAAGCTTATGAAGGTGAGGAGTTGATGTTCTCTGCATTATGTCTTTTTCCCTTTATCCGGAGGTGCCAGTCAGTTGTGTGTCACTTGATAGTAACAAGTGAGGAGCTGATAGTAACCTGTGAGGAGCTGAGACCCCATGTCTTGTTTGGGGAGGGAAGTGGAATGAGGCAGCTGCAGGTGTTGGGGTTTGGGAGCAGTGACTTCTGCTGAGGTGGCTGGGCAGAATTGGAGAGGTTGATTATGGTCAGTGATCAGCTGCTCTTCTTTTCAGGGCATCTGACTGGAAACTGGACAATCCAGACTGGACAGGGCGGCTCCGTGTCACCTCCAAAGGCAAAACTGCTTACATAAAACTGGAGGATAAGGTTTCAGGTAAGGGAAAGGCTGTGCCTTGGCAAGGCTGTGACTGTGATTGCTGCCCATGAGCCTGTGTTCCTAAGCCTGCCCAGAGCATGGCAGCCCTGGCCACGCKTTAGCTGGGAGTCGCTCTTCTTAACACCTGCTTCTCTGTCTGCAGGAGAACTTTTTGCCCAGGCTCCTATAGATCAGTACCCTGGCATTGCGGTGGAGACTGTGGCAGATTCCAGCCGCTACTTTGTCATTCGAATTCAGGATGGGACTGGTGAGTTGGGGGCCAGTGTATGTGCCGGTGCTAGGGATGGAGGAGCCTGGGAGCCTGGTGGAGCTGGGAGTGTACCAGGAGGATGGAAATGGTGTTGGGAGTGCTGAAARGGCCAGGTAGTGTTCCATGGAGGGGTCTGAGGGCAGGGGAAACAGAGGAGGTTACATTGCACAGAGTTGGGGGCTGGATTGGGAAAGAACATTTGGTTTCTGAGCATGCCCTGTGGGAAGAAGGTCCTGAAAGCTGGGGACAATGAACTGCCATGAATTGCTGGTGTCCAGCTGCAGGTGTGTCACAGAGGTAGCACAGAGTGGTTTAGAACAAGCAGAAGGATTTGTGGCCCATTTGCAGGGCACTTCCTGTGACTCCTTTTGTCTCCTTGCTAGGACGAAGTGCTTTTATAGGCATTGGCTTCACGGATCGTGGTGATGCCTTTGACTTCAACGTCTCTTTGCAGGATCACTTCAAGTGAGTTTTGCTTTTCTAGAATGCTGTTTTTCCACTGGCCTATGGAGCATGGTGGGTGGTTGTGCATGTTCATTTAGGATGGGCTTCCTTGGAGTGGCTCTGAAGCCCCACTCTGACAGAGGACTCCTGAGTGTGCTGTCAGCTGTCCTGCAAGCTGACAGCCCTGCAGGGTCAAGTCTGTAAGTCTTAAGCTTAGGTCCTGTGATGCTSCAGGTGCAGTGTTCAACAGCTTCAGGGGTTTGTGGGAGTCCCAGCTTTGTACTTTGCTACACCAGGAGTAGGGACGTAGCTGGTTTGGCAAGGCAAGGTAGTTTGGTGGGATGGAGAGAGAAAACACACATTTTTTTCTGAAACATTGTTCCTTTTTGCCACAGGGTCTCATATTTTCCTCTCTTTTTAGGTGGGTGAAGCAGGAGACTGAAATCTCCAAGGAGTCCCAGGAAGCTGACACACGTCCCAAGTTAGACTTAGGGTTTAAAGAAGGGCAGACCATCAAACTGAACATTGGGGTAAGCGGACCAGTTTACCCTGCTTCTTTCTCTGGTTATGTCAATGGAGACTCTTCTCTACACATCTTTTTTTTTCTTTTTTTTTTTTTTTATACAGAACATGACATCAAAGAAAGGAGGAGCAGCCAAGCCCCGTGTGTCTGGATCAGGGGGCCTAAGCCTGCTGCCACCCCCGCCAGGAGGCAAAATTGCAGTCCCTCCTATACCTCCCCCGTCTTCCACAGCCATTGCCAACCACGTCACACCACCACCTGTGCAGAAATCCAGTAATGCRAGCAGTGCAGGTAAACCTTAGCACAGAGCCAGCAGTCTGTCAGACACKGGCAGGGACTGCTTCAGCAAATCCATGTTCTACCTGGTGCCAGCAGTGCCCTCTGAGACATGGTGTGTCCCAAGGGTTTTGCTCTCTTCGSCAGCTCTGGTGTCCCCTGTGCAAGGAAGATGTGGACCTGTTATACTGGGTCCAGAAGAGGGCCATAGAAATGGTCCTGTGAACAAAGGCTGAGAGGGTTAGAGCTGTTTAGCCTGGAGAGGACAAGGTTCTGAGAAGACCTTTCAGTGTATAAAGGGAGCATGTTAAAAAGGTGGAGAAAGACTTTTTTTTCCAGGGCCTGTAGTGACAGGGCAAGGGGTAAAGTCTAAAATGGAAAGAGGGCAGATTTAGGTTGGCTATAAAGAAGAAATACCATGAGGGTGGTGAAACYCTGGAACYGGTTGCCCAGAGAAGCAGTGGATACCCCTTCACTGGSAGTGTTCAAGACCAGATTGTATGGGGCTTTGAGCAACCTGATTTAGTAAAAGATGTCCCTTATGGCATGGCAATGGGGCTAGGTGATCTTGAAGGACCCTTCCAACTTAAATTATCCTGTGATTCTGTAACAAAGAGGTTGTTGCAGTGTTCTGGATGCTGTGCTAAGAATGTAACCGTGCAGAGGTGTTTGGGGAGCTGATGGTACCCTTGTGAAGGYAGAGACTTCAGCAGTGCTGTCCACAGGTTTGAGTGAGACGAAAACACGAGCAGAGTAAGCTCATGTGTTCCCAGTGCATGGTTTGTGCTGTTAAGGTGGTGCCTGTTCGGCAMCTGTTACGCTGCTGAGCTTGGGTTGAGTCTGAGCCTTGTGTCTACTGGGACAGGTAATAAGTGACAATTCTCTCAGGTGGTGTGCTAAGTGGAAACTGAATAGTTCTTGAAGCCAATTTACCTTGCAGTGTCAGCTGGAGGCTCTGTGCACATTCAGCAGGAGATGCTGTTATAACAAACCCCTCAAAAAGTCTTAACTTCTGGAGGGAAAGCTGAAGTCCCTTCAMAGATTTTCTGCCCCTGCATCCAGAAGTTTGTTTAAGGTGGCAATTTAAATACCTGTGAGGTTTTCTTGATTAGCCTGATGTATTTTTTTCCTCTCTTGTGCCTTAGATATTCTATTAGACTTAGATGCTCCTGCAGCTGCATCCAAGGCACCAGTATCATCTACCACAGACCTCTGGGGAGACTTCAGCACTGCATCCAGGTAAACTGTGATAAATGGAGCACAAGAAGGGTAGTGTCCTGATGGATGTGGGAAGAACCCTAAGTTSAGAAGTCTTACTGGATCTCATTCGATTCTCCTTTTTTTATTTCAGTGCTGTTCCCAATCAGGCTCCTCAGCAGTCCAACTGGGTCCAGTTCTGAATGATCAAAGCAATGGAATGGGACAAACTGATGACCTAGAGGCACCAAATGGGATCAGAGSGGGCACAAACCTCTCTAGTCTTCAATCAAATTGGGACAATCCTTCATTTTTAAATCAGAACCTTCACTTAAACTTACTATTTTTGATCCCACTGAACCTCAAGAGAACATACTGACTCCTCCCAAGATGGCCAAGGAGGAGAGAGGTTGCATTATATCCTCCATCCACTTGGCCATTACATGGTACATCCTAGCTCTTTTTCCCTGTCTTTCCATACAGGGAAAGCAAGAATCTTGAAGAAAGTGGGTACAGGAGGAGGCTGGGTAGGTGCCTCTGGGTTCCTTGTCCTTTAAATTTTCTCTGGCTAGGCTGTCGCTTTTTGTGGCTGCTTTCAGTAGTGACTGCAGTCCCTGCAGCTTGCGGTGCTGAGGACAGCTGCATTTGGCTACACCTGCTAAATGAAATCTCTAATGAGATAGGTCTTGGCTCAACACAAAACCCTCTTGGATTAATGACACTCGTGGTGAGGATGACCCTCCCCACGCATGCACTACTCTTCCTGTCTTTGGTGCAATTCTTGGTAGTGCTGGATGTCCTCATGCTCCTGTGGGAGGAGTCATGCAAGTCCTTCAGTAGATTACTGTCACTGCGCTGTAGTTCCAGGCGGGCGCCCTATCTCCAGGCTCCTGATTTGGCTTGCAGGTTCACTGGAGGAACTTCTTTCATTTTAACTCCTTTCTCCCTGTGCGAAGGCCTCGCTGTCACTGAGCTGTTTTAACTGGAAATAGCTTTAAGGAAAAAAAAAAAGAAGCCTGTTTTTACAATTTGGTAGCTACTTGCACTAGATGACAACCAGGTGATTCCCACCACTCAGCATTTCATGTTCCTGCATCACTATCCTGAGCCCCGGCCTTGTGTTGTGACTTGGCACTGTATTACAAGTATTGCATATCCCTGCCACAGTAAGAATTATGGTGGGACAATGGATTATTTTCTGGTGAAGGGACAGKCTCCTTCCCTTTTTCAACTCACGCAATTGAGCAAGAGATGTATAGTAGGCTCAATCCTGAGAACTGTGGGAGCAAAGTTCTYCCACCTGTGTTCCTTATGATGTCTTTTCTTCTGAGTCCATCTTTTAGGGATGTTAGCTGGTTATTCGAACTTGGATTTTTTKTTATTGTTAATATGTCCAAGGTCCCTCTATTTCCTTTGTGGTTAAGGGAGTTAGAAAGAGATAAAAGGCCTTGACTCTCTACTTTTTTYTTTGGGGGAGTTTCCTGAGGCCCTTCAGTGTGGACACTACATCTTCAATAGTTGTGGATGTGACCTGGGGTGTAAGTCTGTTGATTACTCTGGGCAAAGCACACAGGGCAGTCTGGAGACTTCACAATGCTGAATGGCTTCCCTTCATGCTGGTTCAGAAGCCAAAATACTTTCTGGGAAGGTGGTCAGAGTGACTCTTGGACATCTGTACCCAGTTACTGGAACACTAGGGTTTTGGTGCTTTGCTGGAAGGCTTCTTCCTATTTTGAACACTCAACGCCACAACACTTTTGTGTCTCAAGCATACCTTTGCAAGGAAATTTTTACCTTTTGGGCAAAAATTTCTGGCGAGGCTTTTAAAAAGTAGTTAGACACATGCACCTTGTACTGGCAAAGGTCTCTTGTCATTTTTGTCTTGCTACACTGAGGGCATTTTGGAGACAGTTYCACTTAGACCATCCCTTTGGGGAGCAACATTCTTGAAATAGCTCTAAAGCTGCTGCAGTTCCACTTGTGGAAGTGGGGACCAGACTGCTCTTGGATGTATTTTAAGTAGTCATTTAACCCTGATTCCCTGGCTCTCTTGGTGTTTCCCTTGCCAGCCCTCCCTTGCCTATGTAGTCACTCCTGCAGTCTCACTGTACTTCGGCTCCCTGCCTCCTRAACTTGTGGATGACTGTAGTCTGCAAGTGACATCACAGACTTTGCTGGGTTGGCATTTTGTTTTCTTTGTCTTTTTGTTTGCTCACATCCTTGTGAKGTCCTGTCATTTCAACTATGTATCAATTCCCCAACCAAGCAAGTCCATGGCACCAATTAACAACTAACTAGGAGCCTCTTCTGTATTGTCTTAGTTAGTATTCTGGAGATAATATATTATGTATTTGAAAAGCTGAAGAAGCAAAAATTAAAGATATATGTATATAAAGCATAAGATGTACTGGTGCAAATGGTAATTAAACAAGTAATACTGGGGCAAAGAATGTAATGAGTCTTCTAAGTTGTCAAATTGTTTTTGCTTTGGAAGCCTCTAGATTGAAGGTCTTCATGTCTCCAACAAGATCCTCACAGCCTACTTATCCTGCATATATCTGTRGCCTGCAGACTGGACAAGAGCAACTTCAGGAGTGATGGGTTCAGGCTCTGTCTGGGCAGAGAGGTAGGAGTGTGGAAGAAGGATGGAAGAATGACACGGCTGTTCCAAGTGGGGTAAAAAACCCACACAACAACAAACAACATGGAAACAGACCTGACTATAGTTTCATGTGATGCTTGATAAGAGTGGATAAAACTAGCAAGTGACAAAACTTGGTTGCCCTGACATTCAGTGTTTCTAACATTGGAGGTTTCTACAGCCTGCAGGTATTTTTAGAAATGATTCTTGCCATGCTGATAGATGGGAAACAGTCTGTGCCTACTGCAGAGATGGGCAAGGCGAGCTGAGTGGGCCCTTTGTTAGGAGTAGCGAGGACAGGCTGCTTGGAAAGAGGAATCTGACTCACAGCAGGGCAGGTAGGGGCAATGGCCTCACCAGCAAAGGAGCAGTCTTGCAGTACTTAAGCACAAAGATCAGAGCAGGTCAGGATGAGGATCTAGATCGGCAGATAAGGACATGGCCAAGCATGGCTATGCTAACTCAGGCAGGGACCAAGGATGAGACCCTTACCTATGATGAGCCCACGGGCCAATGTTGCTGTGGTTTCTAAAAGCCAGACACCTCTATTGCTTCAGCTGGACCTGAATCCAGGCAGCCAATCCCCACAGAAAGAGAATATGCTTAGCCAAGTAAGCCTTAAGACATTGCTCTATCAAGCCTGCTTGCAGCCATRTCTTCTTGCACAGCATGGTTGCTCCATGTTCCTCTGTCTGACAGCAAAGATGTGCACAAGAYTGTGTTGAAAATACAGCAGAACTCTTGTGGCCTGGGTAAAGATGAGAAGACATAACCTTTTAAGTCTGCTGTTTGAATTATGAAACATTCTAGTATCTAATGGCCAGAAAAAAAMCCCACATTTCTTCTGCTCTAGGAGCAAAGCTGTTACCTTGTTTTGGTGAACAAGTTGGGTATGTTGTATAGGTCCTGGCAGGGGGAAGATGAAGCACTTTACCCATAAGCTAKGGTGGAGTTTCTCAGACTTTTCAGTAAGTACTTGCAGCAAAAAGGATTGAAAAGCCTAAAAGGGTCTTTCTCCAGAGCAGGAGGATTTTCGGAGGAGGTTCAACTAAGGGGAAATATTGCGATGTACTCCTGTTTGTGCATGAAGAAGCATAGATGACTAGGAGACAGTTCATGAGGGAGAGCTTAGTCCCCTCTGGAGATCTTTGCATCCCCATGTCTTTCCCCACATGGAAATGTACAGCTTGATGTGTATTGTGCAGATCTTCCCTTTCTTCCAGTTGGGAGACAGACTGTAGTCCATAGAAAGAATGAGGAAACGAGTGTCAAAGTGAAGATCCCAGTTTTGTCTGGTTTTTGGTTGTCAGTTCTTCTGCGGGAGGTGTATTTGAGGTGGGATGTGAGTGTTTCCCCACCCTTTCTCCCATTATATTGTACATTCTGTGACTTCATATCTCACAGCCTTACCACAGCCACAAAGTAGGGATTGCAGACACAAACTTGCCGGTTTTCACAAAACCTTGATGTTGTGTGTGGACTCCTGCAGAAATGGAGAGGAAAGGTTGTGCATTGGAGGAAATCAAACAAAAACCAAACAGGAAACCAAAACCCCCAAAGTCTTCCTRAGCTTTGATAATGAGGTAACAGGATCTCAATCTGGGCTCATCCTGTTGAATCAGCATAAACGTACAAAGTTCTAGGAGGAAAAACAACTGGGCTGTTAATGTATTTAAGCAGAGCACTGTGGCCTGAGTGGTTAACACCCATTGTAATGCCTCAAGGTCTAGGCAGACTGTTGAGTGCTCATTACTTTAAGTGMACAATAGACTCTCACTCTGGAGGCTGTTATTGGTCTCTTTCTTTCAAGATAATGGCTTTGTCCATGCTGACAGGGAAAGCACATTGCAGGATGATAGCTTAATTTTGCCACCTGCCATTACCTATAGTTGTGTGTCCCCATCCAGAGCTGGAGGTCTGATGGACATTCCTTGAAGCTGAGCCTTGGAAGATCAGAGAGCAACAGCTGCACTGTGTCATGCCTCCTGAGCAGAGCTATGTTTTTCAGCTGCCACTGCAGGGATCCTGCAGAGGACTTCTTGCATCACTTTTGTTTGGGGTAGGCCATCCAGGTAACTTGGAATGGCCTGGTCTACCTTTCCCAGGCATTATAGGATGGCTGGTGCTGCGTGTTGGGGCGGAGGCAGCTGCCTTGCTTAGTCGACTGGCTTTTCAAACCTTGAAGCAGTCTGAAGAGACACTGGCTAAAGGAGGGAGCTCCCTGTAACTTGCAGCCTTCGCGCTGAGCCTTGTGTGTTAGGCGTGTTAAGAGTTGTGGTGCTCCCTGCCCTCCCAAAGCTGGTCTGGGAACCTGGCTGGGCTGGTGACGCCCGCAGCCAGACGTGGAGCTCAGTCTCACCCGTGACCGTGTGCTGCCATCTGCTGCTGAATCCCTTTGTTGCGGGTTTTCCCGCAATCCCTGAGCTCAGCCACCGTCTCCAGGGAGCGTCTGGGCGCCCAGCAGTCGAGAGGGTGGCGGGTGGGATGCAAGAAGGCATCACCTGAGRCCTGGCTAGTGCTGGTGGGGTGCCCTCTGAAAAGAAATTGCGACTGGCAATTTGTAGCTTGATAGTTGCAGTGATGGAACTGGTGCTTCTGGACRTAGCCATGTTCTGCTGTAACACTGCCCTCTGTGCTTCAATGCCCTCATGCACAGACAGCATAATGTAGGGCTTGGAACTGAGCTGTCTTAGGGCAGGCACACATCCCTTCTTGTGTGCATACAGGTATGGATGTCTGTTGTCTTTACAGTTTGGCCCAAAGGAATGGAGCTCCTCCTTTTTTAAAACGATGGCTAAGCACTTGTCCCTAAGTCCATGTTTATGGTGTTAAGCAAACTGTTCAAAGATGTGTGAGATGCTATGTCAGTAGTGCTACACAAGCCATCCTTTTGGTTAGCTGGCAGGGCCAAGGATCTGCATTCCAGTGAAAGGTAAGGGGTAGGAGAGCATTTTCTTTGAAGAATATGTGCTAAGTGGCTATAGATACAGCTGTGTGTCTGGCCCAGAGTTATGGGCTGCTGTCACCAGTACCTGAAGCTGAAGTCAATACCATGGGTACATGTACGGAGTGTGCTTGGAAATGACCGTTTTTGGGTAGAAAACCAGGAAAAGCCCATAAGCAATAAATCCTGTACAGAAAGAGGGCTACTGTAAGCAGATAACCTGACCTGGGCAGCCTGGTCTAGCTCCAGAAGTAGTCCTGATTGGAGCAAGGTTTGAACAAGATACCTCCCATCTGAAGTATTTCCTAACACAACTTTTGCACTCAGCTGTAGTGAGGTGGTCCCACTCT